AACAGTGCGCATGAATTACAACACTCATTTTTAACCTCATTATGACGGACCATCTCTCAATCCCATCAGTGGACGTTGACTTGGTTGAATTCACAATTTACTTACAAGTATTCTAAAACAACTTACTAGTGATATAAGTTTGTTGAAGGGGACTACCACCGGTATGCGCGATTTCGGAAGGAAACAAAACTACAAGTTACTCAAATGTAATGTGGCTGGCTGTTAGCAAATTATTCTGTTTGTCAGTGTGTTGCTGTAGGATTTCATTACTCTGGTGTGTTAGTCACCAATTCAATTTTTGTTGCATATTTTGTGTTCACTTTTTTATGTGCAGAACTGTCCATGTCTTTCCTTATTTTCTTACCTTAATCACTACAGTCTCTTATAGTTGTTGAGGTTTACTGTTATTTTATAAATGCTGTCATTATTGCCACGCCTTTAACAGTCTATTTGATCTGTTGCTAAGCAGCGTTGCTTTTTGCTGGTGTACTAGCTGTTTAATAAAATGGCAAATTATGTATGAGTATGATATATTATACCACAGTTGAAATTTTTCTTAAAGTGACCATATATTCTAGTTAATTATTGTGAAGATAAAGTATCTTTATTTTTGTATAATTTTTACTGGAGGATGGTTTAAACGGTCTTCTTTCTTACAGAATGAATCATAAGGTTCTGTTGTTTCTAGTGTAGATGATTTTTTTCAACCAATAAAAATTAATGACGGTCACGGAAATAAGTGTCAGTAAACTGGACTGAGTCCGTATACACTGATCTTTGAAACTATCGTTTTCGTATAAAAGGGTGAAACACCATCAGGTTCTCGATATTAAATTGAGAAAATAATGAATTAAACCTATGACTTTAAATTTCAATTTATAAATCACTTAATCAGGCATGTTGGTTAAACTAAATGCTACTAAGCCACTCAACTTTTTTACAGTGAGACAGTCTGGATTAAAACTGAAATGAATCCCATTTGTATTTCAGCAATATAGGGACATTTGAAACATATATACCCACCAACTACCTTAGTCAGCAAACATCGTGTTGTTAGAGTAAGGGATAAATAGACCATTTCGTCTAAGTTCCACTTCAAATATATTTCCTCATATCTGAACGGCTTGATAAACAACCTCACTTTTAATTCACTTGATATTGTTTTATTTGAATCTTCCCATTGATGTTTAGGACTGAAATTGTTCAGTCTCTTATTGGCATATGTGCATACTGTGCGTATGCCTCGATATTGCCTTAATTTACAAGCATTCCACTGCTAGCCACTATCCATCTTTGCTTATAACCTCACTTTTTTTTGTAACTGTATTTTAATAAGTTTTTTAAAGCCTTAACAATACGTAAGTATCGGATATCATAGAAGAAACATTCTCTGTAAGATAATAAAAGTAGCCGCTTGTAAGTTAATTTGATGAACATCTGAAAAGCGAAATCCCAGAAAAAATTCGTTTATTCCTAAAACTATACTACTGAAAATATTCAGCTAAAATGGAATCAGAAAATTAAACCCATGAAGTTCAACTTAACTTTTATATTTCCGACTACGCTTAATAAAAACTGAATAGTAAAAACTCCAGTTGTTGATTTTATTGCATATGATCCGAGTAGTTTCTTAGCAAATAAACTCGTTGATTTGCATTATGGTGACATTATTGTTCTGAGAGACGACAATTTATTCCACTTCATTCAATAATCACCTTTTATTTATTTTATTTAAACACAAATATTGGTACAAGAAGGCACGAAATATATATGCGCCAGCACCACATCATTCGATTTGTGTAAGGGCTCGGATACTACCCCAACTCACAAACCGAATTAGTTGGTTTTCTTGGAAGGCTGCTACCCCTCCCTTGACCTAGAGGTCTAATCCACAAGTCAGTGGAGCAACGCTGGGAGATGCAGTCTCATGGTATCCGGTGAAAAAAAGATTTCCTACGCCATTTGTTCCGTTAGGATTCTTGAGCCCGTTTACACGATTGGTTTGGAATCAGAGTTTCCCAACTCCCTTAAGTGTTGTCCCCTTTCTATTCACCGAACCGGTTAAAGTGCCTGACATTTGCTTTTCGTCCTCTCAATTCCGTAGGCAACAGACCCCGCCGTGAGAAGGCAGTGAGTAGGATTTCCCTGACAGTGGTTGTATATACGCGACCATGTGAGAGCATTTGGAGAGGGAGAGCAGACTCTCCACTCTCGGCCGTACCAGGGTATTTTAAGACACAGTAATCACCAAGTGTAGGTTTGTATATTAGGCTTTGAACTACACATGCAATTTTAAGGTTAATAATATTATTCGATTGCTCAAACGATGTATCAATATCCCACTGGTCGAATGTCAGTTTTCAAAACTACAATTCTATGTACCTTTGATTGTAAATGTTGTAACAAAATATAATTAGACTGACATTGACAAAAATGAACAAAATAGACTCTATCACAAATATGTATCGATACAAGTTCCCACGCTTAAAATCAGTTTAGTCCAAAAAAAATCAGTAAGAAGGAAAGCAATCGTCTGACTTAATGACATTAGCAATAGTCTGGAACGATGAGAGGAATGAATAAAAAGTATGAGATTATAACATGTTAAAAATTGGAAAGAAGACAACGAAACAGATGCATCCGCGCTCTTGCCACTAGTTTTGGCTCTCTTCATACTTCATGTTTATCTTATGGACTTCAGTCAAGAATTTAACTTTCCTCTATACGACTAAAACCAACAGTCTGTGATTTCATAAAATGCTTGCAAGTGTTACTTTGGACATCCATAACCTTATTATGTGTTAATCACGATAAGACACCAGTATGGATGGTGCCTGGACATTCATAAAACCTTTACCAACTGCCCCAGAGGGTATATATATGGTTAGCTGTCACTCAATGTAATCATCCTTTTATAGCAAGCTGGGATTATACCGGAGTCTCAAAGTGAATACATCCGGAAAGTTAGGCTCATACTTTTTGTGTGGTTGCTGAGACTTTCCCATACATAAACCTACGAAAGGTCATAATAATCCCAAGACGATGGAATTAGGTAATGAGCTTAACTGCCTTTCCCTTATTATCAAATAGATGTTAGCTTATACCAGCTCTAGAATAGTATTTTCCGTTTGTAAATTCAAAAACGCATTTTAAGCTCTCTTGTATTATTAATTAACGTGTTCTAAAGGTTATGTTTCATAGGCGTCTTCACTAAACAGAATCATTTTATCTGTTTATACCTTGTCGATAACGGAGTTTTTAGGTAAGACAAATTCATGAAACTAGACAAAGCATTTTTGATGTCCAGTGGTCTAGGACAAAATGGGTAGATTCAAAGCGATTGACAAAATCAAATGTTTAAAATGCGTACATTAATATATTCTGTTTGAAAGTACAGAAGAGGATCACTAATGTTATTCACCCTTTCATCTCATTCACTTCTCAGCTAAATATAATATATTCGAGTACAAAGCTTATTCTTCTCTGTGGTAACTTATATGATTTACACTGAATACTTTAAACTAAATGAAAGACTATGTTAGTGATCTGTAGATTCCAGTTTTCTTTGTGATGTTTATCTGAGCTGATTTGTTAGAATAAATAAAATTAATGACCACTATGTTAATATAAGATCATTTTAAATAATTGTGAGAAGTCATCGAGGAAGCTAGTTCATTATACCGTGATAAATCTTTCATTAACTATGTGAGTAGTATACAATTCCAATGTCATACAAAGGAATAAAACAATTATTTTGTTAATCCCAAAGTGTGTCCTTGACTTTACAGGTGGGATTCATTAGCAAGTTACATCCATAAGTATGATTAACTTGAGTTGTGACTAAATATCTTTAAAACTAGATTATGAGCTCGAATTGGTTTACTTTTGTTAATTAATTCATCTATCAAGCGCCGTATCCTATGTAAATCTTTTAGAGGCTACACAGATCAGTACATAACTTCGATTATCGTTTGACAATCGTGCCAATTAGTTCGACAGTTAGCTCTTCAATAAGTTGAGATTATTTCTATCTATTCTCACACTTGAACGCTTGAAATACGTTTCTAAATCACTTAATAGTGAAAGGCAAACCTTTGTGATAACTACTGTTTAACAACTGCGGTCTAAATGTCTCACATAAATTCATACATACATTACGCCAATATGCATGAAACCTACATGAAATTCAAGTCCACATTTAACATATGAAACACGCTATAATTATAACTTTCCATGTGCATACTAATTTATTTACTGAAATATGAGCTATCCATCATGCAATGGTTACCTTGTTCCTTGAACCTGATTGTATGAAGGATACCCTGAATTGATCGATTTGAATCGTATTCAGCTGTACCAGCGAATCTTGAACTATGGTGGGTTCCGAAATTTTAAGAAGTTAATCATTTGACCACCGATAATGACTTTAAACTTTCTCTTTCCTTTCCTAACCTGCTGTTTAAGTATCCGGATAGCTTATAAATAAAATAATGTGTTTGGAAAAGAACTTGTGGGTTAAGTGGGATTTTTTCCTTATAAATTTAATTATCCCTAGTTTTTTTTAATCATAAGCTAATTGTGGAAATGGTATCAATTTGTAAATATAATGCATACTTGTCATATGGTAATAATATAGTAGGCGCCAGTTCACAATTGTCACTGACCAATCAAATATATAGCACAAGAAAAAGATGAAACATTTAGAAATAAATAAACAACACTGTACTAGTCAAGTTTCTGAAATTTCATGATTTATTCAGATATTATAAATGATAATAACAACAATACTATTATTATTACAATTACTATCATTTTTATTATCGTAACAATTTATTTATTGTATTTAGTTTATTTTAAAATAGAGATTTTAATTTTTAGTTTAAATTCCCTCGAAGTTAATTTATCATTTGTCTGAAAGTGGAAAATTGTCATAATCTTACTTCTTAGTTATCTATTTATTTATTAACTTATTATTATTATTTTCTATACCTGCCTATTAGTGGTCATCTGGTGTTTCAATCCCAACTACTACCACCACTACTACCACTAGCACAACAGTTCAAATGTCAAATTCATTTCGATTCTCCCCTATTCCATTTACTTCTATTTCAACTGGATCTACCATTTCTACATGCAATTCTGTTAATGAATTAATCCATCATTCTACGTCTACATCTGATTCCGAGTTTACTACACCTATTTCATCGAGTTTAGGATCAACAAGTTTAACAGTTTATCCAGTTCATGTTTCTGCTAATGGTTCAACTGTATTAGTTGCTTCATCACCAACTTCTCAAGACATTTCTAAATCGTACATTACAACTAACTTATCAATATCATCGTCATCAGTCTGTTCTACATCATTTGGAAATTATTTAAATTCTTCTATAGAAGCATCCAATTTATCTCCATTATCTATTACATGTAGTTCTAATTTATCTTCAAACTCAATTACTAGTCCTACGCCTATACTTACATCAACACCTCGTGGTAAGCCTAAATTTAAAGCATTATGGGAGTCTACTCTTTCTAATAATGAACGCATTAATCAATCTATTGTTAATGAATCATTAACAAATCTTGAACATACAACTCATTCTGTCAATGAATGTACAACTACAAATTCTACCTTACCAATTAATTCAATTTCAAGAACAAATCGTACAAATAAACGTCAATCTCCTATGCTTGGAATTAAATCTATTGGTCAAACACCTAAACGTCTTGCTGCAACAGCTGCAACACTTTCACAAGAAAATAAATCGATTTCTTCAGATGGATGTAAAAAGTTTCTTCTTATTTGTTCTCCATCTAAAAATATTCCAGTAAAATCACAAATTGAATCAGATTCTGGTATATGTTTGTCGTCTAGTGGTGGTAATCTTTCAGAGTCTGTTTTATCGAAAAATACATCTTCATGCACAGAATTAGATATAATAAAATCTTGTAATTCTACTACTCGTCAATTGATTACTAATATATCAGATGATCGTGTAAAACTACCTAAAAATACAGAACGTAATAATAATATTTCATTGAAACAATCCAGTTTATTACACTCGACAGGATCTAACGTTTCGTCTGGTCGCGATTCTTCAGATATCATCGAATCTGACCCTATTGTTTCTGAAGTGTTTATGGGGAAAACATTCGAAAATGGAAGACGAAGTTTAAAAGAAGAACCGGTAAGTTTCTTGATTTTTTTGACTTATTGTAATAAGTTTAGAACTAAACTTTTTTATATGAAATATTTACATATGATAGTGATGCTGACGAATATATTAACTCATCTGTTTGGCATGACTAACTACTAATTGTTAAGATCTCAGTGCACACTATTTGCACCTGCCTTATGGTCAACTAATAAATGTGAAATCCAGCTATGAAGAAGTAATACTTATTCATTTGCTTACTCATGGTTAAAATTACGCTTGATGTTCTTTAGTTTAAACACCCAAAAGTGTCATTTGGCTCCTTCTAATGCTCAAACATACTTACTTACTTACTTACGACTGTTACTCCAAATGGAGCATAGGCCGCCGACCAACATTCACCAACCCACTCTGTCCTGGGCCTTCTTTTTTAGTTCCATCCAGTTCTTGTTCATTTTTCTCATGTCTATCTCCATTTCTCGGCGTAATGTGTTCTTTGGTCTTCCTCTCCTCTTTCGACCTTCAGGATTCCATGTGACGGCTTGTCTTGTGACGCAGTTGGGTGCTTTCCTCAAAATGTGTCCTATCCACTTCCAGCTCTTCCTGATTTCTTCTTCACTGGGATCTGATTTGTTCTCTCCCACAGTAGGTTGTTGCTAATGGTGTCCGGCCAACGGATCCGAAGTATTATGCGTAGAACTATCTTGACATTTGTATTGAAAATTCTGACTTTGGTGTTGGTTTCCAATCGTTTTGAGTTCTAGATGTTCTTCAGTTGTAAATATGCTGCTCTTGCTTCGCCGATCCGTGCCTTCACACCTGCATCAGATCCACTGTGTTCATCAATGATGCTGCCCAAATATGTAAAGGTTTGTACATCTTCCAAATCTTCTCCGTCAATTGTGATTGGATTGTTGCCTGTTGTGTTGTATCGGAGAATCTCGCTTTTCCCTTTGTGTATATTGAGACTTACTGCTGCTGAGGCTTCTGCTACACTGGTCGTCTTCTGCATTAGTTGTTGCGTATGCGATAGAAGAGCCAGATCATCTGCGAAGTCTAGATCATCCAACTGCATCCTTGATGTCCACTGTATCCCGTGCTTCCCTTCAGATGTTGACGTCTTCATGATCCAGTCGATCACCAGGAGAAAGAAAAAGGGTGAGAGTAAGCAACCTTTCTTGACACCGGTCTTTACTTCGAACGACTTTGTCAACTGTCCTCCATGAATGATTTTGCAGTTTAATCCATCGTAGGAATTCCGTATGATATTGACTATCTTCTGAGGCACGCCGTAGTGTCGAAGAAGCTTCCATAGGGTTGTTCTGTCCACGCTATCAAATGTTTTTTCGTAGTCAATGAAGTTGATATAGAGTGATGAATTCCATTCAATTGATTGTTCCACAATGATCTGTAGAGTTGCGACTTGGTCTTTGCACGATCTATCCTTGCGTAATTCTGCCTGTCGGTCTCGAAGTTGGGCATCTATAGAGTCCTTCATCCTGTTTAACGATACCCTGTTGAAGACTTTTCCTGGTATTGAGAGAAGAGTGATTCCCCTGTAGTTATCACAGTTGCTGAGATCGACTTTTTTGGTACTTTGGCCAGAAGTCCTTCTTTATAGTCTCTTGGTACTTATTCCTCACCCCAAATCTCTCTGAAGAGAATGTGGAGTATCCTTGCAGTTACCGCTACGTTTGCTTTCAGTGCCTCTGCTGGAATGTTGTTTGGTCCTGCTGCTTTGCCACTCTTGATTTGTCTGATAGCCATGCTGATTTCTTCAATTGTTGGTGGGCCAACATCGATTGGGAGGTCCGTGAGTGCTGCTTCGATGTTGGGTGGGTTCAGTGGGGTTGGTCGATTCAAGAGTTCTTTGAAGTGTTCTACCCACCTGTTTCGTTGTTCTTCAATGTTGGTGATTATCTTGCCTTCCTTGCTTTTCACTGGTCGTTCTGGTATACGGTGATTTCCAGAGAGTTTGTTTGTTGTGTCATACAGTTGTCTCATGTTTCCTTCTCTTGCAGCCTTTTCCGCCGTCATTGCTAAATCTTCCACATATTTACGTTTGTTAGTTCTGATGCTCCTCTTCACTTGCTTGTTTACTTCTGTGTATTCAGCTTGTGCCTTGGCTTTTTCTGCTCTTGTTCGACTGGTATTGATTGCTGCTTTCTTGTTCCTCCTTTCTTGAATCTTATCCAGTGTATCAACCGTGATCCAATCCTTGTGATGGTGCTTCTTTTGGCCCAGAACTTCATGATATGTTGAAGTGATTGTCTCTTTTATCTCTTTCCACTTGCTTTCCATAGTAGTTCCTTCTCCATTGAGTAGATCATTAAAGGCCTGGAACTTATTGCTGAGGGCTATCTTGAATTTGTTGAGTTTGTCAGTATCCCGAAGAAGAGCCGTATTAAACTTTTGTGATATTGTCCGCCCCGTTGTCCAGTGCCTCCTGAGTTTCAATTTCATCTTGGCGACCAGCAAGTGATGATGTGATGCTATATCAGCTTCTCTCTTGGTTCTCACGTCCTCCATCGTCTTCCTGAACCTTTTGTTGATGCAGATATGGTCGATTTGGTTCTGTGTGGTGTGATCCGGTGAAGTTCATGTGGTTTTGTGTATGCGTTTATGTGGGAATATAGTGCCACCTATGACCAGTTTATTGAAGGCACATAGATTTGTAAATCTCTCACTATTTTCGTTGCCCCCAAATGCCCTGGTACGGCCGAGAGTGGGGAGAGTCCGCTCTCCCTCTCGAAATGCTCTCACATGGCCATGTGTATATAGCCCCTGCCAGGGAAGTCCTACTCAATGCCTTCTCGTGGCGGGGGTGTTGTTTACAAAAATGAGAGGACGAAAAGCGAATGTCTGGCGCTTTAACCGTATCCCAAATCAATGGTGCACATGGGCTCCAGTATCCTGCGGGAACAAATGGCGTATGAACCAATCGTTGGTCACCGGCTACCATGGGATTGCATCTCCTCACGATGCTCCACTGCCTTGTGGGTCAGACGTTCAGGTCAAAGGCTCGGGGTGTGGCCCCCTAAGACAACCACCTGCTTCGGTTTGGGCACCCGAGCAGTATCACAGCCCTCACACAAATCAATTGAGATTCGTGTGGCGCATATGTATTTTGGCGCCTCCCTGTACCTATACTTATGTGTTAAAATAAATAAAAATAAACACTATTTTCGTTCCTTTCTCCCAGTCCGTGTCGTCCCATGATCTCTTCATATCCGGTGTTGTCAATTCCAACCTTGGAATTTAGGTCTCCCATCAGAATATTCAGGTCCTTTGTTGGGCAGTTCTCAACGATTGACTGCAGCCTATCGTAGAATTGATCTTTAGCGTCTTCATTGTAGTCGTTGGTAGGCGCGTAGCATTGGATGACGTTCATTGTAATGCCCTATTTCTTTGTTTTGAAGGAGGCTTTGATGATCCTTGGTCCATGAGATTCCCATCCTATAAGTGCATTTTGTGCTTGTTTGGACAGCATCAATGCAACTCCTTGTGTGTGTGGGGGATTTTCTTCATCGTGGCCGGAGTGTAACAACAGCTCCCCTGAAGCTAGTCGTTATTGTCCAATGCGTCTCACTGATCCCAAGCACCTCTAGGTTGTATCTCCTCATTTCTGCAGCAATTTGGAAGACGTTCCCAGTCTCCCACATTGTACAAGTATTCCATGCACCTAAATAAATGGTTACTCTGGTTGTCAGAAGGGGCATCGGCCTCGTAACTTTCGAAGAAACTCGGCTTTCATCATGAGGCGTCATAACTCTTCTAAATGAAGACCTTCTGACTCCCAGGACAGAGTTTAAATGGTTTGAATAATTTTTTCTGGTTGGCGTTTTTTCAGCGAGTTAGTTTTCTACGGGATAGGGTCGATAACAAAAGGCCCAACCCTCCTCCTTCATCCGGGCTTGGGACCGGCAGTAGCCCCCCGAAAGGGACTACAGGCGGAGTTAATGCTCAAATATGCATCTTATTAAATTAAATATTTTTTAGCTGTTGTAAAATTAAGTGAACTTTTGTTATCAAGAATTACTCGCTTTGACATTAAGTGTTCTAACTAGTTTTATTCTGTAGACACCTTTAATTGTAGACATCTTTCGTTCACGTAATAAATAAATAAACATCTATTATGATTTGACGGATGCAATATATAAATGAAGTTCTCAGAGCATAAATAATTCCATTTCATCTTTTCTTTCATATAAAATGAACGAATTAATAAATGTGGGATTCTTGCAATACGTCTTTTTTTTAGCCAACACTCATTTAATGACTCAGTGAAAACTATTTACATTGAATAATTTCTTTGATAAATACCAATTCGATCGTGTTTTTGTAATTTTCAGTTAAGGACGTTACTTTTTTTAATGTGAAAATTCAGTAGTCTTTCAATGCTCCAATCTAAAATATTGTAATATAAAATATCACAGAAAAGAGAGAGGAAATATATACGTCTCTACTAGCCATAATGCTTAGCAATCATCAAACTGTGCAATTACTACAATCATAAGAAAACTCACTAGAGCAAAATACCTACATTGTTTAGCACAACCTGGATCAATGATTAGTTGGTTCATGTTCATTTTCAGTACGTGTAGCATACCTTTCAGAGATTTCAAGCAATAATGATTTACAATCTCATTGATTGATCCGCTCTTTTCAACTTAAAAATGATTCCTTTTGTTTCCATAGTAAAACAGTTTGCTGTTAGTTTTCCAATAATCTCAACAAAAAGTAGTTGTATTTTATTCAATGGGTCAGGTTTTTTATTATTTCAAAATACATGTTTTGGTTCTGTACATCCTTTATATTTGAGAACTTAGAAAAGATCTTCAAGTCAGTTACAGTTGTCACTTGTAATAGAAATATTCGAAACGTATAATTGGGAATTACCTACAAAAAGCAATAGAGGATCAAAATAATAAAAGTAGGCTTAGCTTTATTAAACATTCTCTTATTGCTTTCTAGTTATCAACTGGAGTGATGGCTTATTGGTTTAAGTATTTTACTTTCGGTCTATTATACTA